GGGGATAGGCAGGATCTCTTTCCTTTGCCTGGAAAGAAAAGGGGTCTCTTACATTCTCTGCACAAGTGATCACTCTTTGTGTATGTCGGCTTGGTACATAACTGAGAATATAAGTTTGGCATACGGAAACACACAGTTCCAGCTTCCAATTAAACCCTATTTAAGCCACCCACCTCCCACCCCCCCCTCCCCTCGCTCCCTGCCTGCCGTCCCCCCCCCCGCCTCGTCCTCCTCTGGCGGCAACACAGGCGGTTGAAGGTTTGGTTAGATGGTTCAGCGGTGTTTATCCGACAAAGTCCAAGAGTGCCCTCTCCCTACAGTATCCTACAGTAGTCCTCCTCCCTGCAGTTGAAAGTTTGGTGACGCCCGTTTTGGCCCACAATTTCGACCCCCCAGCCCGGGCCCCTTTCCGACAAATCTCCCTGCCCCTCCCCTCGCCTTTCTGATCCTTGTCCCCGCAAGTTTTCTGCCTTCTTCCCTACCCTCCCCCTCCCGCCTGCCCCGCCCCTATCAGCGTAGCTGTAACTGCGTATTACCGGGTTGTGTTACAGTGCTGCGCTCCGGCAAGCCGAGGCGGGCGGCGCATCGTTAAAATGAAATACATGAGTACATAAACGATGACATCTTTTTGTGTTGTTGTGAGATGAAACTTGCAGACAGGCTCTGTTCTACAAACAGGAGGATGCGAGAGCTCCTCAAACAAGCTGACTAGCCACGACAACCCACACAGCATGGCAAAGGATTATCTTGACAGTCAGACAGACCGGACGAAGTTGACCTCTTCTGACTTTGCATGTTCTCCATTCCCAGTTGCAATGATTCAACTCTGTCGATGGCTGCAAGCAATCAATGTTGAGGCTTCACATCCATCCCTCGACAGCCACGAGCGAAAACTTGTCGGACATAGAGATCATGCAAACTTGATTATTGGGAAGCGGCACATTCCGTCGTGCTTCTGAGATCCATGTCATTGGTGTGGATAGGACAAGCATATTCAAGCATTTGTAATCAATTGCAGCACCGCACCCTGCCGCAGCTTCACGTGTGATACATTTTGCTTCAGCATCCCTCGAACACGAAGTCTGGCACGAATAGCTAGCAAATGCCAGGAGAGGAAGAATCGTCTCCTTCACCACCCTTCGCTAGCATGCGCTTGTCAAACGCGCGAACGTCTTGCCAGCCGCTTCACACCTCCCCTTTCCGTGTGTTGGTCACCGTGACCTCTCCCACCCTCGCAGCTGTGGGATCAATGCGCTGCACGAAGTGTCACCAACCCCACTCGAACGTTCCGCCATATGAAAGAACATACGTCATGCTGAAGTCCTGCACATACTGCGAAAAGCAAGGCACGCATGGCCGACGTCAGTTGCTAGGACGTCGCTGACGCTGAAAGCAGGGACGGGGGAGCCGTTTGACAGCCAGTCAACTGCAAATCTGCCGCTCCCCCCAGGGTCTGCTGCTTCCAAAGTGGTGTACCAGTTTTAAGGGCTTGGGCTTGCTGGGTGGTGTTGATTGTGCTGGCTTGACGAAGGGTTGCCTGTCACGGCAAGCAGATGCAAAGTGCGAGGCAGCAAGACACGCGCCGGCAGTGTCACTTCGGTCAACCGAGAAGCAGCGAAGCTTGGTCCGGTGACAGTCAGGTCAAGGATGTGTATGAACAGTGAATTGACGTTGTTGTGGCCGAAGATGTTCACATAGAGGCCGACATCTTTCGCATCTCTTGGCCAGCCCGGGCAATGCTTCGCAAAGTGGAGAGCAGCAGATTTCATCTGCTCTGCTTCCTGAAGAGCTTCGCGAACATCGCATCCTTCTCCAATTTCGCAGACCATCCCGAATACAAGCGGATTGAACCTAAGCTCCGCGCTTGATAGTGGAGTGTGTTTCATAGCTCTGGCCGGAGCTAGTTCTATCACCTGGCCCTGGTCTGTCAAGCTGAGGCAGCCACCACTGCCAGCGCACGTCCTACACCGCAGCAACCCAAATGCTTCTTTCCTCTACTGCCTAATCCTCTAGCGCGACGCTCGTCTCCACTTCCGTCCTTGGTCGTGAGAAACCGATGCCGTCTTGACATGGAAGCTCGTCTGACCCATTGCGGATCTTCAGAATCCTGGGATGAGGACCGCAGAGCCAAGACTCGACAGTGGCACCCACACCGGAACTCGGCCCAGGTTCCCAGTGCAAGTCATTCTCAGGCCGATTGCAGCAGACGAGGAACTTCCTCAGGCGACAGCTTTCACCTTCGCGTGACCGTTTCCTGCCTTTCTTCTCCGAGTCGCTTCTTGAAGTCTCCCAGGGCCTCTTGCTCGCGCTCCATGTTCGGCTGCTTCAGAAGCCTAAGCTTAGTAGGGCGGTTCCCGCACCGCAGGGCTTTCAACCGAGGCGCTACACTTGGGCCCGAGGCCCGAGCCCTCGCGCTGCGCGAGCGAAGACGTTCAAGGGACTCAGTCCCCCCGTGAGCTCTCCTTCCGAAGCCCCGGCCCGCCTCCTTGGCGGCCTCACCTCAAAAGCAGCCCGTCCTGAGCCATCCTCCACGAAGCCAGCGTTCACCAATTCCGCCCGCAGTGCCTCACAACCTCCAAGCTCCTGTCGCAGGAGCCTCCGCGCCTGAGTCAGCGAACGTTTCTTCACCGGCCCTGAGCTGTGCACAGGCCACGAGCGGCCTCCCGGACATGCGAGACTTCGTTGATCCGCGGTATGCGAAGCTTGATTTCCTTGCGAAGCGAGGCTTCGAGTATTGACAGCAGCAACTTCCGTCACTGCCTGGCCGGGGCGCTGCCCGGATGGAGGTCGCACCGTTTTCGTCTAGACCCGCATAGCTCATGGCAGCAGAGGAAGATCGTCGGGACTGCTTTGAGCCTCCCTCTGCGGAGCAAAATTGGTAAAGCTGCAAAGCAGCAGGACCGCCTCCGCAGGAAACATCGTAAGACCCTCCCTGGCCTCCAGCAACTTTGCGCACGAGTGCGCGTCGGTCCAGTCCAGGCCTCAAAGAGCTCCCATGCATCGAACGGAAAGCGTCTCCGCAGCTCGCGCAGCTCGTGCAGCTCCGAGCCGAGTCGCGTCGGAGAAAGACTTTGCCTCCGGACGCAAACCTGTGACAGGCGGAGGCGACGTGATCTTCTGGCACGTGCTGTCTCTCATATGACAAGCCTGCCATCCGCCTTCGCTTTGGAAGCGCTGGCATCACAAAGTGCCAGAGCTGCCGGGTCTAAGCTGCATTCGCACTGGGACATACTGGGACCGCAGTTTCGTTACAGGCCAGCAAGCTCCCGGCTATTGTCTGCGGCGGTGACCTTCGAAAGCGACTCAAAAGCACCTGTGGCCCTACATGGCGCAGCCTCACGGGCCTCGGCACCGCAGCATGCAAGGCTCAGCGTCAGAAAGCCGCAGCCGCAGCCGAGCCTTGGCGAATCGCAATCGCCATCACTGCCTAGAGCCTAGAGGACAGCAAGCGCCTACAGCATCCGGCTGCATGTTTCTACCCCGCGCCCATCCACCCTGTCTCGTCGTCCCACTGCTGCGCGACGAAGCTCTGCAGCGACGCGCCACCGGCTTCCAGCGCTGCCTCGGCCCCCGCACAGAACCTCAGACTCGGAGATGCAGAAGACAGCAGAAGAGAGAACAGGGACAGGCAACGCTTTACGGTTTGGGCTTGGGCCTCTCCGAGGCGAGCAGCTCCAGCTCCAGCACCGGCCGCTCGTTGGCGATCAGCCTCTTGGCCGTCCTCGCTTCGGCATCGCTTCGGCATCCCCGCTTCGGCCCCGGAGGCTCAAGGTCTCAAGCGTCTCAACTCTCCTGCGCAGCTCCGTCATCTGATGAGTTTCGGACTCCGGCAACGGTGCTGCCGAAGCGTTGAAGGAGTCCTGCAGGCCCTGCATCAGGAGGTAGAATGGGGGGACTCGCCGTCCCTTGTCTTGTCCCTTCTCTTCCCGCCTTGCGCAGCCATGCAACCACCAGGCGCCGCGCCGAGAGCTCCCGGGCGAGCCCCGCCTCAGCCGCAAGTGCTCAAGCCAACACGGCAGAGTCTCCTCCACCCTCTGCCTGGACCGGTGTCACGAGCTCCAAAGAATCTGCGAATCGCCGGACATCCTCCACACTGTCGCCTGCACGGAAGTAAGCGCACTCAACACAAATGGCCTCACACATGAAAAGGCACAAAGCATGAGAAAAAGACAGAGAGAGAGAGAGAGAGCAAGAGAGCGAGCGAGCGAACCTGCGAGCAGTCTGGCAAACGGCATCATCCTTCCACCCATTTGAGCATCACCCGGCAGCTCAAACAGCAGGCGCTCCTCGGAGTTCAGGGATTAAGCCGACAACGAGGTCTGGGACAGGCCTACACAACAGAGTGTGGAGCGGGGCGCAGGCGTCTAAGGGCAGCACAGAGACATTTGCGCGGCTTAGGGCTTCCAGCTTGGCAGATCTCAGCTTCGGCGGGTCATCTGCCAAAGTGGCAGACACGTCGACCTCGAGGCCGCAGATCTCAAAGAGATTCTCCGTCCCCTCCCTGTCTTCGAGGAAACCGTAGATGGACCAGAGCATGGCAGAGGAGTTGGGGCCATAGAGATGCAGGAGTTCCTCGCCCGCTTTGACCGGCCCCTCAGCCAGCAGCAACGCCCCGTCTCTGACAGAGCCTTGTGGTTCGAAGGAACACTGCCAAAGTTGCACACCGTCCTTGAAGAGCGTCGTGGTGTTCAGGATATCCACGAGCGGCACTAACCTGACGTGCTCAAAAGGGGAATAAACAATCTGACGTGCTAAGAATGCATTTCTCTCTTCTGTCGATTGCTGGGAGGTCCCAGGAGAAGCTCTGAGACATCGGACTCTAGCAGAATCTCTTAAACCTAGCATCTCGGAGAGAAGGTGCACAGGCTTGCTTTCGACGAAACCCGGACAGCCTGCAAAAAAAGACGAGCGGCGCAAGCTGCTCTTCGGCGGAATCCGGAAGAAAAGTAAAAGCCCTGGAATCTACAATGGCGAGTGCCCAACGTGCATCCTGCTGTGAAATGCCGGCTGCAACCAACTTCTCGACGTTTTCACATCCTGGCACAGTTGCAGGTGCTCAAGAAGATCACAGAGAACATGGAACTTTGTGCATGAACTTGTGCAGACGAAGCTGCTCACCTACGCGTCAAACTGACTATACGCGAATGCGTGAGATGCAAAGGCATCATCTGGAACAATATTGACTCATAACTTTCGGGTCCGGATTCAGGGAAAAAATTGCTTGCGAGCATCTACATCGAGCGACAGGCAAGGATGATGCGAACTTTGGGCTTCGGGGCCTTCCAGTTACACCATGCAGCTTTCCGCTTTCTAGAGAGGTTGACTTGTCTCAGCGACAGTGCCGAATCTCCGAGCACGAGCCGTTTGGAAAGGGCTTATGTGGAGACTCTGTTGTTGAGCTTGGGATTGCGATGATGCTATTGACTGCGATGGCGGCGAGATTGATAACTCTTTATATTCATTCAGGCAGAGTGTGGGTGCGAAATGTTGTGGCAAGGTGAGAGTGGATCATAGAATATCTTTAAGTCAAGGTGAATGTGGCCGGCAGATGCCTTTTGCGATGCATGTCTGAGGATGTGATTGCCTCATCGGAGGTGCAACAGTGTGTGCAACACTCCAGACTTGAAACTGTCTTGCGACAGGGTCCAACGCCGAAATCCTGCAGAATGCCTGGGTGCTTGTGATGCAGTTCTCTCTCGGATACCTTTCACATCGTCTCGAGCCTGCCACACCAAACTCTAAGGAGCTCAACGATAACGCATAATTCTTGGAATTTCTGCAAAGACGAAATACTCATCGGATTCTGTGGGTAAAAATATAGCATTACATCGGTCTTACTTCTTCCACGGCATTGGATAAAGACATAGCAGAGCCAGCTACCACATGTGACTCAAGCCATTCCCCAGAATGCATGAAATAGGTTTTGTGGCGACCTGGACCAACAAGGATGACACGAGTGTGAGGAGAAGTCGCGTTGACGTTCAAGCTTCACGTGTTCTACATAACGGCTTTCGAAACTTGGGCTCCGAAGATTCAGACGTGTCTCGAGGCACTTCCACTGGACTGTTCAAGTGAGGGCTTGTCTTGGGGTAGAGCAGCAAAGCGCAGGCCTTCTTGAAAGATCTCTCTCGCAACACGCCGGCCGTGGGCACTCCCCACCATCAATTCTTCGATGTCCAGCCCAGGTGGCCAGAAGTAGGGATGAATCGACGGAAGCGCACTTTCTGTTGGCAGACACCTGATATAGGGTGCGAAGAACGACTCGGATCCCAGTTCCTTTTCGCGCAGAAGTGCTCTTGCCAAGCATGCCTCCTTCAGAAGACCTTCCTGCTGTTCACCGACGAGAATGCCCTGCTCTGGAACGCGGCAAACAACTTCTCCTGGCGCAAAGTCCCTCTTCGCAAATGCGGCGAGACCTCCACCCTCCTTCATGCTGACATCGAGTCGGAGATCGTCGACTCCCTTTGTTCCGATCTGCTTCAACCATGTGCACAAGTCTTGCAGCTCGTCGCTCTTGCAACTTCGAACGCCTGGGCAGATTCTCCGTTTGTACAAACGGCTTGCACTCAAGGCCAAAGTTCCAAGGCCCAACAAACTGCGGTTCGATAAAGAAAGGCCACCAAAAGCCGCGGCCTTTCTGACTGAGTGTAACGTAGCCAATGGAGCCTGTTGGCAGCCCACGGAAGGACGCCGCGTGTCTGGGCGCTGAGGCGGCAAACTTTGCATTGCTCGGCGACTGCCTACAGAGAGTCTCTTTTTGTGGCGGCCTTGCCTCCGCAAACCTTTTTACATAATACGATGGTATGAAAGACTTCGTCTCTCCCCCCGCAGCACAAGACCATGACAGCTTGCATCAGCCAGACATGCGGATATCGTCGAACCCGGGGTAGTGGCCCACCGTCACGCTAAGGACTGAACTCCAGCACCTTCTGGCCGCTCCAGCGAGCACCCGCACTTTCCTGAGATCCAGAACAACTTCAAAACCCTCAGGAGTGCTTGGGCTCGTGCCTGCAAGTGCCGTGGCCTTCCCATGTGGCTGAGGTAGGAAAACAGGTCATCAGCCTGGACTTCCACTTCGCCCCTTGCCGGACATTTCGGTTTCTGAGGCATTGGCAGCTGGCCACTTGCGAACTCCACAGCCTGGGTAGAAGAGCGCAGGGCTGCACGGAAGCAAAGCCGTGAACCCAGGCACGAACCATCTGCAAAAATATGGCACCCTTCCCAAACATGCAGCATTGTCTCTCCGTCCTGCACAACAGCATCATCTTCCATCGGCTCGGGTCTCTAAAGTCTCTCCCCTTCCGTCAAACACCTCAGTCTGGATCCGGTACTGCTGCAACCTGAAGTAGGAGGGAGCGGAGCAAAGCGAGCACGCTACTTGCTCAAATCGATTGCGGAGACACCGATCGCAAAAGGAGGAAAGGCAGGAAGGCGCTGCCACCGAGCGTCTCCTTCCGCATTGGCAGGTGGGCGTGGCCGGCATTCGCGCTGCAGGCGAGTTCAGCTCGCTGCTTCCTCGCAGCGGTTCACCACAGAGAGTGACGAGATCTCGTCGGCAGATCTCGTCGGCCTGGAGCTGAGCCTTGAGCCCAAGACGGAGAGCGCGACCGCCGGCACTGTTCGAATGCTTCGGCCTCAAAGGCAAGCAGAGAAGCTTGCGACTTTTAGGTGCCTGAGCGATCCTTTGCCATCTAAGCAGCAGGCCATTCCACATCAGAGCTAGAGTGGAGGCAACATGATCTCGTGCTTGTTGTACTCTGCACTCAACCGCAGACTTGCTTTGCGGGGATTGAGTTGGGTGCGAAGTTGGGTCCGGGAAGTAGCATGCCTGCAATGGCCGACAGGTGGTGCTTGCGCAAGAACTGTGCAAAAGTATGCCAGAGCGAACCCCCAAGTAAATGTGCAGCACACAGACTTGCAGACACCTGCGACTAGAGCACAACTGAGTCATTCAAGTCTTTTTGTTTGGATTTGCGGGTTTGTGAGTTATGTACACAGGGGACAGAAAGCCCCAAACGCAGTGCAAGTGCCCGAGGTCTTTGGGTGCACTGATTTGTGCTTCACTCGCGGACTGGTCCACCGACGGCCACTTGGGCTGCAGGGCAAAGGCTCGCCGCCTAGAACAGGTTGCCTCGGCAGACAGTCTCTAAAACTACATGTGAAAAGAGATGCACAAACTACAGACTATACATTTCTGCGGTATGCGATTTCAACCCATCTGAGTGCCAGGCTGTTGAACCCCAGTGGCAGATCGGATCCGGATGATTCAGCATCTGACTCCTGAAATGATCTCTGGCTCCGCCAGATCCAAAGGGATGTGGAGCGGACATGCAAGAAAGAGACGTCCCGATCCTCCTGCAATGGCGCGCTTGCTGCCTCACCATCGGCCAACAAGTCATGTCTCGTTGGCGACTGCAATGACACAAATCTTCAGCCCTACTTGGACTAGGGCCGAACCTTAATTTCATGTGTAGCAATCGCAGAAACCCTAGGAGGTAAAGTTATGAAACTTGGTGCAGCTGGGCGCGTTGCATTCAACTTCCAACCTCAACAAAGCCTCTGACGAGCTCCCATCCACATTCTCTGTCCTGTGAATTTGTGTCCTAGTACCTCCCCTTGTGCCCTGCTTACAGCTCCATGGGAGGGAGATATTTTTGGGGATTATATATAGGCAAGCTGGGATGTGCATCGCTGTGTCGCTTGCACAAGTTGTGTCAGATTCTGTCTTGGTGCTCGAGTACTACATCTTACAGCTGATGAAATGCTGCAGAACCTCAACCTCCTCAACAATGTCCGAAGACAATCCCCCTGATTGCACACACCCCGAATCCACTAGCTCCACCAGTATATAGGATACTTTCTGGCGACCGTCGTGCAGCCATTGCTGATCGAGTCTATGCAATCTATGCCTGTTGATGTGTGTCCCGCTCGCGTAGCAGCCGGAGCACGCTACCCTTCTGCCCGCCCCCGGCTGCAGCGCCTTGGCTTTGGCCTTGGCCTTGCTGGCCTCGGCCATCTGACGCTGGCGCTCCTTCCAAGGCGAAGCCAAAACTTCGCTTCGCTTCTGGCGCTGCCCGCTTCGCTGCCCCCGCCTGCTCGGCCTGTCGCTCAGCGACTTTTCGCAGGCGCTCGGCTTCTTTGGCCTTCAGCGAGGCAGCGGCAAACGGCAAAAAGGCTCCAGGCACTGCCAGGCACCCCACAGCTTCCTCCTCCTTTCGCTTTCTTTCCTCGGTGATGACGACTTGCGGCTCAAGAAAGCCAAAGAGCTCTCGACCTCCTCGAGGATGCGCTCAGCCACCCGTTCCTCCTTCGGAGAGGCACCAACAACTCGTGCCTTTCATGAATCGCGGCACATCGCGGCAACGCCTCCAACTTGGCTTCCTCCTTTCTCTTTTCCTCCTCATGCACAGGACAGGTGAAGCACGTGCCTCCATGCAAAGGCGAAGCTGTCCTCGCGCTCTTTCGCGAGAGCCTCCTTTTCCTCCCGACGGCGCCTGACCCGGGAGAGTCGAGTCTCCACCGTCAGCACTGTCGACCCCTCTTGCAAGAGACACATGGTTATCGCTTATCGCTGCGCCTGTTGTGAGGTGTCCGGTCTTTGGGGGAAAAGTTACACTCTGAGTGTCTTCAGTAACTAACTCATTCGCTCTGTCTGTCTTCTTTTAGCCTGACTACACACATTGCCGGTTCATGAGCAGCATGTCGCCAAGGGCACGGCTCGGCTTGCTCTTTCTGTTCCGCAACTTTCCTCGCTTTCGCCTCTCGAGAGATCCCAAGACGATGGCGAGTGCATGCGAGTGCCTTCGACGTAGGCTAAAGCCCGGCCTCCGCCCGCGCAGCCTTCGCCTCTTTGGACGCTTCCCGCCTGCGCAGCTCCTCTGCCGCCTTCTCTTCAGCCAGGCGTTCCTGAGCCAGCTCCAGACTGTCTGCCACTAGCTGCGTTTTCTGGCCTTCTCTTCCCTTCTGGCTGCGTCACGGGCAGCTTTCCTGGCACGACAGAGGCCAAGCATCCAACCATGTTTCATGACCGTGCTGGATGCACTCTTCCGTACGTTTCTGGACTTGCTCGGCCTTAGCACACAGTTGCGGCTGCTTCGGCATGTGTCCCTCCTCCGCCCACACGAGCACCAACAAGGTTGCTGCGAATTCGCTCGTTGCGTGAGCCATCTGCCGGAGGACCTTGCGCAGTGATTCATTTCAACACTGCACAACGACATGATCAGCGACCTGTGCTGCTGCAGGCGCAGCATCTGTTAAGGCATGTGCCCAGCGCCGCCGAAGCCTGGAACAAACGCGCCAAGCTGGCTGCCATACAGCGCCACACCTACACTGAGGGGGGAACTCTTCGGCGGTTTTGACAATTTCCTTGAACTGTTGGTGAACACCATCAACACTGTGAAGCGCCACGATGCTCAAGCGGATGTTCTTCCCCATTGCTTTGCCAATTCTGTTGCGACTCAGCGCAAAGACAACAGGCACCTCATGTTCCCGTGCCAGTTCGATCACATCCTCCACGGTATCGTCAAGGCCCCCCTCTGCACTAGAGGTTTCCAGATTGGGCGCGACAATGAGGCCCTTGCATTTGCTCCTCGTGATGGCTCTTCTGGCTTCCCGCAGCCCCACGCAGTAGCGCTTTAGCTTCGCGTACTTCATCGGGTTTTGCTCCTTGGCTCGATCTTGAAATCGAACCAGCTCCGACAAAACAAACTTCACCTTTTCGTCCAGGTCATCACTGAGCTCCTGATGGACGTAATGTCGAACCTCCAGATCGGCTGGCTTCGCCACTGCCTCCTTTGGCTTCTGGCTCTTTTCCTGCACTGTTCGCAAGCGCTCGAGTGTCTCACTGATGGACAAGGGCTCAATCTCTTCCGACCCGTCTGAAGGATCTTCAGTGGGATCACAGTCAGGGCTTGGAGCAGGACCGGCTGGACCACCGGCCAAGGCGGCCACAGGGCCTGCAGGCAACGGAGCTCTCATTGCCGGAACGAGCTGCGTCTCGAGTGCTGCTCGATCCTCTTCGGTACCTGTCCTCAGCCACTCGGCCGGCATGAAGGCCGGAGCATCGGCGTTCAGCCGGCTGGGTGCGGACTCTGATTCCTTGGAATCTCCTTCTCGGAACTCGCGGTCTTCCAGAATCGTCTTCTTCAACTTGCTCATCTTCTTCTTCTTCGAGACGATGCGCTGCTTCCCAATGCGAAGATTCGTCAAGTCCATGGAGGACTGCTCGAGGATCGTCTTGCTAACGGCACTTGCGCGGATGTCCCGCCTGCTAACCTCGGCCATCTCGGAGAGCGGTACCTCCACGCTCAGTGAAGAGGTAAACATGGTTTTCTGCTTACTGGCTTGCTGTGCTGCATGGTATCATTGTTGCCAGCACGGCCTGCCCCCGTTATTTCTACAAGGTCGTCCGACGAAACCGGCGTCTGGGAAGCTAGCTGCCTTAGTGGCTTTGGTTGCCATGGAGCCTTCACATCATTCGCTACACCTGTGTGTGTTGACTGGCCGGTGCTGTGCAAAGCATGTGCAGGCGCATCAGGAGCATCATCCACTCAGCTGCAGCAAGTGCGTCACGACCCTCGATGTGCAGCTAGCTGCTACCGCAACATTGACGGACCCTGCCTGCCCCAAAGGAAACTGCCTCAGGAAAGGTCCACGTGCCGAAGCAGATGCGACATCAAGCTGTCAGCGAGGCTGATGGATCAACGCCGTATGTGAAACCTCAGCACCTGGTTCCCCATGCAACAACACTGTGCACATGTGAAGTCTTCCCACATTGGCATGGATGGCTTAAACGGCTGCAGAGACAACAAGCAAGAATATGCATTGCAAGCACGATGCCCGAAAGCTACGATGGGATGTCAACTGCTTGACAGCTAGATCTTTCGTTGAAAGTCTGAAGGGCAAGAACAGGAATGAGGGAATGAATAGGTGTCCAAATTCTAAACCTCAACCAAAACCAAAAGCACACGACTCGACAGGAACTCGGCATGAAGGCCGAAACATCAATAGAAAACTCTTCATGCCTCACATCATCTCCAGCTAATGTGTGAAAATCTTAGGCCCTTGTTGTTCATGGTGAAACACGCACAGGCTGCACTTTCTGCGTGCTCTCTCCAACTCGAGGTCGGGCTACGTGAGCTGGAAATGTCACCACTTGGTGTCAGGCCCGACTGCTACGAACATCATTGCCACAAGCTTCTAGGTCTGGTGTTCTTCTTGGCACTCCTGCACATCCAACTCTTCCCGACACCACATCTACGATGGCCCGATCCATGCTAGCCACGATGTGGGAAGGGGGAGTTCCTGTGCAGCTGAAGGAGGTCGGTTTTGCATGCACCCACAGTCATCGCGCCTGGAATGCAGAGTCCCAGTCGTTCGTGATGCGGCGTCTGAGACTTCCTCGTCGATTGCCTGCTGGCAGGCTTCTTGGATGTTCATGCTTCACACGCCACCGAGTTGCCCAAGTGATGAAAGGAGACTTTTTGGACCAGGATTTTCTGCCATGCTGGTAGCAAATCAGTTGCAACAACCATGACATGAACATTCGCTGCTCTCACTGCAGCAAGTCTTGATTTGGCTGACGATGCACTGTGCCGGACCTTACACGCACAAACATCACCGGGCACTCTCAATTCGTATTCTGTGGGAAATCTGGCAGAGTTCGAACACCATGTTTCAAAGCTCGAAAGGCTTGCACGATCTGGATTGTTGATACATGGCTGGCGGCAAGAGGACGCGGTTAGATCATCCGAAATGTAATATGTCGCACAGTTGTAGTACATCTCCTCAGGCTCAGGCCCATGCTTGCAAGACTTTGAGGGGGCATGTGTCCGAGACGTCTGTGCATGAGCTGGCAAGCCGAAGCCAAGCAGCTCCAAACTTATGCACGTTTGCACAGTCGTTCCCATCGAAAAAGTTTTCTGTCGGTCGCGGGCCTCCTACTAAGCAGGAGGTCCCACGCCGGTCACCGCAGGTTTAGCGTGGGCTGGAGCCAGACGCACTATACATCGTCATACACAACTCCAGGGACGCGAGCCCTGGCTGTACACAAATGACTTTCCAAACTCGCAGAGGCTTGTGTCAACGCCTTGACCCTAGCTCTCTCCACAGCAGTTGCACGAGCAGCCTCCAGTTGCCAGTCTGCCCTGAGCGAGGTGCGATGCCGCCGCTTGCAAAGCGTGTTCGCCTCCGTGTCAGCCGCAGCATTCAGCCGTCTGCACTCCTCCGTCGTCGCAGGCACTCCTGCGGGAGCGGACCACGAGGGTCCTTTTCCATGGCTCGGAATCCACACCATCGACCAGTCAACGCCTCGACGGCGCAAATCATGACCAGACTGAAAAGCCTTAGCCGCCAAAAGCCTGAGAGAGCACTGACTCGGGCAGCATAGGGCTCGGATCGCGGATTGGCAATCAACCAGGATCCAGACTCGTCGCGGGGGCCGCGGCGTCGCCAGCAAAGCGGCCAACAGCTCCTCCAAAGCTTTCAATTCCATTCTAAATGGTGCTTGATCTTCGCAGGTGTCGGCACCTGCAATCCGGGCCCGAGGCCGATCGCAAGCAATGCCAAAGCTTCCAATGCCCTCCAGGCTGGAGCCGTCAGTGGCCAGCGTCATCTCCTCGATGCAGGCATCGGCGGCTGCCTCAAACAGTTGCACCAGGGGCCCTCGACAAGGGACCACCTCCTGAGGCGGAGCCGGATACTCCGAGAGTGGACACCCTAAGAGTCTTTCTTCAACCCGATTTATCGGCGGGGCGAGATTTGCCCGAATCTCGTGGAGTTCAGGGCAAGTCCAGAGCAAATGAGATCGGGACGGCCAGGTGCGACCACAAAGGCAGGCATTTTGAGTGCCGCCAGTTCTGCGCCCAAAGTGCCATGCAGTGCCCCCCGTCACAAGGCAAGCTCTCTTCGCGTTAGACGAGGCAGCAGTCTTATACTCAAGGCCGTGACCCAAAAAGGCAAACCTGAGGTCAGCCCCCGGAGGGGGAAGGTCCAAGCCCACCGCAAGGGTGGGGTCATCCCGATGCATTCGCCTGGCAACGCGACCACAGGTCCTTGTTGCCTCCTGCACATGATGCTCTGTGAGCCACCAGCGAAGGGCCTGCATGGAGTCTTCCCCGAAGCGAAAGGCCCGCAACGTGCCCCGATCGTCTCGGCGCAGAAGGCAACGGTTTGCAACGTCTAGTTGCCAGCCCAAGCGCTGCAGCGTCTGGATGGCAGCAGGAACTCCCGCGGTCCGGGCGACTCGCAGCGAGCTAAGCATGTCCTTTTCCGACCCATCAGGGGGACGGATCAACGAGCGGGCTAAGGCAGACAAAGAAGCCCAATCAGCCATCCAGAAAGGGTCCGAAGACCAGCCGAGCACCTGGCCGGTGAGCACCCGAGGTGCTTCGAAGGTCAGCACGGCTTGGAGGGCATGGCTCACAGAGAGCCTGATTGCACACAGCTCCTCCTGCTCAGGCAGAGCAACACCCGCCGCCCAGAACAGGGCTGGGAAAATCAAGGATCTGATGACCTGAAACTTCGCCCCAAGGCTAAAAGCAGGGTTGGTGGCATGCCTGAGCCTTGCACGCAATTTGGCCAAACAAAGCTTCAGAGGGCGAGCAGTGCCAGTCGCCAGGGAGAGGTCGATGCCAAGAAACTGAAGGCTCGACACCACGGTGTAACCGCGCTCGTGTGCCACAGATCTCCAAGGGCTATTTGGGTCCTCGGTCACCAAATGACACTTGGGACGGGAACAAGTCAGGCCAGCAGCCTTGTCGAACTCATCACTGCGCTGCAAGGCCTGCTGCGCTGTCTGCGCAGATGACCTGCCTTCATCAGGCATCCACAGCACTCTGTCATCAACGAAAATGCCCGTTTCCACTTGCCGAGAAGACACATGTTGAGTCCAGAGGTGTCCTACACAAAGGCTGAGGACCGGGCTTAACGGGCAGCCCTGGAGCAACCCTACGTGAGCCGGCCTCCAAAAGGGGGTGGTGTGGCTTTCCACCACAAACAGGCGAAGCTGCTGAGCGTAAAAGTTGGAAACGAGCTGAGTCAAGGTTTCCGGTGCCCCAAGGTGGCGCAACGTTTCAGTGATCACTGGCACACTCAACGAGTCGAAGAAAGCACTAAGATCTTGTTGAATGAAAGCCCGAGTGCCCAAATTCCAGGCCTGCAGGATACGGGCATGAACGTCGGCCACACTCTTACCCGGAGCAGCCCCACAAGCACGATGGTCGTTCCACTGAAGGACCCAGCTCTGCAGCCGCCTGGCAAGGACCCGAGATCCCGCCCGCCATGCCATTGGCAACAAGGCCACAGGTCGCGTAGTGTTGTTGCGCTTCGACAACAAAACAATCAAAGACCGGCGCCAAATGCTCGGCACTCGCCCCGTCGTGACCACGGCGGCCCAAAGCTTCTGAAAACCAGTCCACCAGGCTGGGGGAAGCGCCAGAAACATGCTGGCCTGCCAGGCATCAGCCCCAGGTGCTTTAGATTTCATCTTGCCCATTGCCCCCTTGAGCTCCTGCACCGTGGGGACCAAGTCCAGAGTGGCCGGGGTGTGCTGAGGCAGGTTTTGCAGCAGGCGACGGTAAGCGGGCAGATCAGCCTCAGTAGAGGGGGTTTGCCACCGCCGAATCCAGATCTCCCCTTGCTCCTGCACCCGTTGGGCAGGATGCACTGTACCCTGCATGGCAGCTCCCAACGGAGGAGGCTGCTGCAGCTCCATATCAAGGTCAGCCCGACGCTTGATCCAGTTGATGGCTCGGGTCGGCGACTCCTGGATCTTTTCGCGCCACTTACTCAAGCAGGTGTCACGATGGGCGGCCCGGTGCGACTCAATCATCTCGTTGATTGACGGCAGGGCCTGTGCTGGAGAAGCCGGGTCAACGCAAGGGAGGTCTGGTACCTGAGCCCGAGCATGGCCCAGCGACTTGGTCAGGCGCTGGCAGAGTGCAGTGTTCCAGGGCTCCTGCACAAGCTGCTGCAGGCGGCGCGCCAGATGCCGTAAGGCACGAAGAGGCCGGGGTTCGTGGCCATCGCGTGTCGGTGCTCCGCAGGGGAGCTCCCGTGTCTCCGGTCGCCACGGCTGGCTTCTGCGTTGAGAGGCACGGCCAATGTCAAGGTAATCCTCGGCCCAGTCGGAAAGCAAAGTCCAAGCTTCGTCCAAACTGGCATGCCTGAGCAAGTCGTCCAGCTCAGATTGTGGAAACTCCAAAGAGGGAGCCGTCTCAGGCCTGGGACCAGCGAAGCTGTGAAAGCGAGGCCGCTGCCAAGAGGACTGAAAACTATCACCCCCGAAGTCAACTCGAATGATCCCATGGTCAGAAATCTCAGGTTGGCGAAAGGTGTGCCCAGCCGTTGCCACCAAGTCCAGGTGAGTCAGCCCAAAGTCGATGCGGCGCGTGTTGGAGGGGTTAGTGTGCGGCGGCTCAAACGAGTAAGCCTCATCAGCAGCCCTCACAGCACGTGAGCAGAGGGAGGTGGCAATAACACCCTCGGTTTGGGTACAGTTGAAATCCCCCAAAATGACGAAAGGGCCGCCAAACACCGAAATTTCCCGCATCAAGGTGCTAAAGGCAGTGTTGGTGCGGGGCAAGTCCCAGGGATAACCATAAAAGGAGACAACGAGAACCGCGACAGTTCTGTCTCCCAAGGGCATGGAGACCAGGCCGGCAGCGACCCGATCCCGTGCAACTTCCATCTCAATCTGAACTGGCTGCATTGGAAGGCACGAGATCAATGCAACCCTGTGTCGATTTCGGCGGTCCGCGGGCCCAAGAACAGTTCGGAAACCCTGACGCCGCCATGCCACTGCAAAGCCGGGAGCAGTGTCCCTGTTGATGTCAACCTCTTGAAAAGCTGCCACCGCAGCGTTCTGCACCCGAAGCATGGAGGCCACAGCCTCAATGATCGTGGCCCCGTGACGGGCCACATTGCAGCTCAGAAGCGAGATGAAGGCTGGGACGGCATCTCCTCAATGGCCCGACGGGCGGATTCGAAAATCTCGTGCAGCTGCTCCTTAGTGAAGCCTGTGGCCTGGGTCCCGGTCACTTGGCGCTTGAGGTTCTTGAGTTGCTGCAGCCTCGTTCCCATCGACTCTTTGTGATCCTTGCAAACACCCGAACCAAAAAAGTCAATAGAAGCCGATTGAGGCTGTCGTTCCCAGCTGATTGATTTCTAGAAAAGAGGAGCTGAAGGAAAGCTACGACTTGTTGGAAGTGCACCCATAAGCATTCTGAAATGCCTCCCAAGAAGCCTTTCCTCCATGGATCTGCCACATCTGCCCTCGGCTTTTGCTACGCTGGCTACGACACCAGAACCAGAGCCCCTTGCAAAGCAACCAAGTGTCTCAGCAAAGCCTAAGCTGGCACTGATACATCTCATGTCCACTGAGACATTGGATAGGCTCGCTTGTGTCTCAGTTGCAAATGAGGGGCTTGCGGAGACAGATTGAAAGCCCAGCGTCTTCTCAATGTCCTTGCATTGCAAGAAATACCACGAAATCTACTCTTGCCTGCCCACCGCAGACAGATCATGGCAGATCGAAGTCATAATACTTGGCCCTCATTGTGGTGTCGAAATATGCGCGACGGCCTATTCGCAAAAGAATTCTGGGGCCATTCAAGCAGTGTGCATCTAAGGTGTGCCACATAAATTCGTCTTCCGAAGTTGGAGAAGCCATCTTAGCAAGAAGTCAGTCTCTCAATCCGACTGTATCATATTTTCCCCTTCGGACGTACAGTCTGTGGGTCTTGCATCAGCTTCCACTTTGATCTTGTCGAGAAACATGTGTTTAGAGAGACTCAATTCCACTTGCAGGATTGCACTCTGAGCCTATGTCTACATTCTGCATGCTACCGAGCGTCGAAAACTCGGGCAGACACCACGAAGAAGTTCAATGCGCTCAACAAGAACGCATTCCATAGCATACCTGAATCGTGAGCCTGGCGCATCGACTCTGCGAAAAACTGCAACAGCAACCCCACGCTCTTTCATACTCCGAGGCCGGGTCACCCAGACAGCTTGAGGGTGTGCACCTCTGCAACCTGGCCGCCTGGCCTAGATCAAGACCAGAGCAGGGATGCACAGAACCTTACGCTCCAGTCCCACGACGTTACTCTCCACAGACCTGAGAACAATACCAGACAAAGGCAGGAAGGGGCCTGCTATCAAAAGTCATCAGCTGCGGCCGAAACAGCTTGCGGAGGTGGAGTACTACGCTGGAGCTGTGAGTCCACAGATCCCTTGCCTTCCCACTGATGGATACCTCCCTGGTCGGCCCATAGTTCGTGTGGAAGATGTCTGCGAGACACACACACACACACCTACCACGCGAAATCTTTAGCTTGCATATGCTTGCATCACTGTCCACTCTGCAGTCTAGTAATAGGATTCCGGCTAGCCCTTGGCTCAGCGTCTCGACCCGATCGTTGCCTGGGCTTCACCAATAAAGATATGGAGACCCTGTAGGGTTTTTGACCGGACATCTGGACTCTCCCGGCCTCCGTTTCTCTTTGAATCGCAGCCGCCGCTGCGGCGCAGCGCCGGCACTCTTCCGCCTCCGTGCCGTGCGTGAGGGCATAAAGCTCGGCAGCTCGCTCGTAGGCGGTGGCAGTCGCAGAGCTGTCGTCCTGGAGATGCCAGCAGCGGGCTTTCAGCTCCTCGAACTTGGCATGAAGGGGATGGACGCGATTGCCAAGGCGGCCGTGGGCATCTTCCAGCTGCTCCAGAATGTCAAGGCGCTGTTCTGGTGAAACGAGCTGCAGGTTGCCCAGGTACATGTGAAAGATCCTGAAATGATAGGGATGCAGGTAGGGGGTGCAATCGTTGCAAAGCCGCTCACAACGCTCTGCTTCTCGGAAAGCTTGGAGCTGCTCATCTTCGACTCGAAACCCGCACTCTTCGCAGAGCAGCATATCAAAGTCGCCCGGAGATCGGCATGGCCGCGGAGGACAGCATGGGGAAGCGCAGTCTGGGCAAAGGAAAGCACATACCACCTCTGGTTCTTCCTCCGTGCACCTTTGGCAGCCACAGTGAAAGTTGAAACTCCGCTGGAGGAGCTCCTGGCGGTGCCACGTAGGAAAGTACTCGGGAATGTAGGCCAGTGATACAATGTCTCCTGTCGCCAGGTCGGACAGTGCTCGGATCACCAAAGTATGTCTCTTTGCAAGCACACACTTGAAAGCAGATGGCCTGCAGCTGTGCTCAGCCAGGCTTCCGATGGAATAAACTGCTGCACGCTTGTCGTCTGTTTCATGTGCATTTGCAGCAAGCTTGGAATAAAGGTCCAGAAGTTCAGAAAGGTCCAACTTACTGCCGAATTCTTCCCTCAGTGCTGCATGGAGATTGCCCACGGTCTGGCACCACTGCTCTGGATGGCCCCGAAGTTGCGACAGCCGTGAGAGGACAGCAGCTCTGGATCCCCTCACTATCTCCCCCAAAACCGTGATGAAGAGCTGAGTGACGAGTGGAAGCTCCAACGGCGTTGAAAGTGTTTTGAACAGCTCCGCTGCCAGCCGCTTCAGCTCTTCACCCCACGCAGACACAAACAGCGGCTCCTCGACGAGCCTCGCTGCCAAACACGCAGTGGCATGCAGTGGGGTGCCAAGAGACAAAGAGACAAAGACAAAGCTATCATACCTCCAGCAGACATACGTACATTCTGGCACTACTAGCTTACTAGCATCGAAAGCGCTGGGTCGAGAAGCAAGATCTCGCCAGTGGAGATTGGTTCCGATGCTTCCAAGCAGCGGCCGACACTGGCCCGCTCCACAACATTGACGTTACGCATGGCTCCGTTTAGGCTAAGAGACTTGCAAAGTTGTCAGCGGACACGACGGCATGAGTTTTTGACATAATCTGGCAAACTCGTAGATCTTTTGCTCCTAGTTACCTCCCGTACAGACTTGATTGCACTCAGCTCTCTTGACGGTGCCTGGCGATGCGAATCCAAAAACATCGAGCACTAAGCTCCAGGGCACCGTTCCAAGAGACCTCATAAGTCATTTCGCTAGGCTTGAATCTTGAAGCACGCAAACCAACGATGGCAACGTCGTGCATTGCAGGTCTGCCGCCGAGAAACAGAATCGAAACGTGCAGTTATAGAGTTATAGAATCTCATGCGGACTTCGTATCTCCATGGCAAACACAACTGCTTGACACATGCTTGAAAAGCTTTCAACCCCTGCTGGGATGAATAAGCTGTTTGCACAGCTGGCTGGGTCCCACAAATGCTGCACATCTTTCGCTACGAGGACAGCCTGAGGCAGTACAGTACGGGTGCTTGCGACAACTGGGGACAACGAGCTCTGAACTTCTTCTACGTTCGTCACATCCAAACATTGCAACAGACCATATGCTAGAGAAATGGTTCCACATTGCTCTCTTTGTCACATCCTGGCCTGGTCTTTCACATCTCTACCGGTCGTAGCTCCGACCGGTTCAAGATCTGATTCCGCTGTATCTTCTTCCATTCAGGGAGGGACGCCGGGTCGGTGTTGAGGCAGGGCCAAAGCCGTGTCGGCGGAAGCTGCCTTGACTCCATGAGCAAGGCTCTAATCTGATGGTCTTGCTCATAGAGCGGTTTGTCAACGTCAGACAGATTCAGCTGAGGATTGTCGTAGAAGGCATCAAAAAGATTAACATAGCCACCCTTAAGCGCAAACTCATGGTTCACGTCACCAGTGCTGTCAAGGAAGTGAAAGATGATGATCTTGTCTATGTCCCCTGTCCATCCCTGCACATCGCCGTTGTAGACAGTGCTGGTAACGAAAAGGTTCAGTGACTCCAAGAAACCCCAGCGAGGAACCGCTCGCACTGGGTCTCCGAAAAGATCGTTGCACTGTATGTCCTCTTGACCCATCATGCCAGCAAAGGCCTTCTGGCAAAATTCGTAGGGATGGTTCCAGAGCCACACGATGAGCTCTTGCAAGAACTCAGCCGTGTCCGCGTGGGCCTTAGCGTAGACAACACCAATGTTGAGGCACTCGGAACCAAAATCTCTGGTCAAGAGAAGCTCAGCCTTGTCCCAATGCGACAGTATCTCGGGCAACGGGTCCTTGAAGAGCACCACGTCGAAATCCAGATACAAAACATCAAAGCCCAAGTTGACAATAGCAGCCATCATGTGAAACTTGTTGGCCGCCGTCTTCTGTTTTCCAGCGATGCAGAAGCTTGGCTCTAGGTGCGCCTTGTCGCATTCCTCTTTGGCGTGGGCATCCAGGCAAAACACTAACATCCGCGGTAGGTGCCCCAGTGCTGCAGCACGACGCAGCCAACCCGAAAGGTACTTAGCGTAGCGCTGGCCATATACTGTTGTCATGAAAACGATGTGGTGGCTGCTCGGGCGGTGGATGTCGGCATCAAGATATCTCAACAAAGCCTTCAGCAGCTTCTGATACGTGTCACTGGGCCAGGCCACCAGCCGCTGCCTGATGTTGCCCAGCAGCCGAGCACCGCTTGTGGCCAGGCTAGAAAGCTGTTTTCGCTCCGCTTCCGAAGTAAGCAGCTCTGTAGGAAAGAAGTCAAGGGTGAAAGGCTTCGTCTGGTAGGAGCCTGTTCCAGACCGTGATCTCCACTGGACAATTTGAGCACCCATGTTTAGAAATGTCAGCAAGGGCCATTGTGTTTCAAAAAGGACTGGTAGCAAGTCCGGAAAGGCATCTTCGACCTTCAGGAAGATCTGGACCACATGACTTAGCTGCAGAGGTACCTGCTCAGACAGAGCCCGCAGATACACCACCAAGCGGTGCAGTGACACAGCAAGCATGCCCAGTGGGCACTCTTTGATCTGGGCCTCAAGATGTGATTCGATCGAGTCCTGCCACATGAACATAGTCAGATGCATCGAAATCCTTTGCGAATTTTCGTCGCCCTTGTGATAGGCTGCTTCAAGCCTGCGTCGGAGGACTGTCCAAGTGGGTGAAAGAGGAGTTCTGTCCGTCTCGGCGAAGTCCTGAACCTCTGAGGAATCGTCGCAGTCGATGCCACGGAGAGCAGTCGAGTCAAAAGCTGCGGCAAACGGCTTCTGCCAGTTTCGAAGCCTTTGCATCGCTGTCACCCAGTACTCGAGCAGGTGGCTCCAGCGTGTGTTCCAGAAGACCACGAGCTCCTCGTGTAGTTGTAGCCCATAGTGGTTGCCATAGGCACCAAGTACGAGCTTGGTAAGGCGAATGGGATCACTGCGAAACGTTTTGCATGAAGGGTGGTCCCAAGCAGCGAGCACACAGGAGGTCCAGTGGCTCAACCTTACCAAGAACCAGCCGAAAGGGCAAATGTCTTCGAAAACAGCCGGCACCTTGGCAAATTTGCTTGCGTTGCCTTGCCACACCTTCTGGTTGCTGGGACTGGCACCCTGCAGCTCCACCGCAGAGAGCAAGAGCATGACGGCCTACAACATCCCGTTTAGGGGCGCTCACTTCCTCTTAACCTCTTCTCGCTGGTTCTTGACAGGGAACTAGGGAGTCATACGAATTGTCACATCCCTTGCTTTGCTACCAAGACATTAATGGCGTAGCGGCCTTGCAGGATTTGACAATTAGAGTTTATGTCCGTAGGACTTGCTGCTCTTGTGGATCAAGTTACCATAAACTCGAAAACAACGTCCTGAGCTTACAGAACAAACATCAACCAAAAGCCAGAAACCCTAAACCCTAAACCGCAAAACCACCAAGCCCTGAACCTCTGCCTCGTGAACGTCGCGCGCCTCCTGGCCAGCACCATGGCACTCGTAGTCAGGGAGCTGCAACGTCGGGCGAGTCTCGTCCTCAATGACCATTTCCAAACTATGGTTGAAAGCACGCTAAACTTTAAGCCGTCAACCCTCTTCAAACCTAACCCCAAAACACTTGCCTTTAACTCTAAATCCTAGAGCCTGAAGCCTGCACCTGAGAACCCTAAACCTGAACACTAGAGCCCCTGCCTGGGCCTCATCTCGCCACGTGCCATGAGCCGGCGACCCCAGTGCCAGCACTATAAAGAGCACCAGGAGCATATCGGCCCTTTCGGAGATGCGGCGGTGCCATTTCGAAACGAGACGGGCAAACCTGAAAGATGCGAAGTCGGATGTCCTAGTCACATTAGTTCATCTTTTGTCGACGGCATGTACCGAACTAAGGACGACTGGAGGCCAGTGACAATGTCTACAGCGGATGATATCTGTTGCAACGGCTGCAGAAGTGCACTCGGCCAGGAACTTCGGAACAGGGTGGCCGGCCACATGGCTACGTAGCCAGGGGCGAGGGAAGCTTCTGAGATGTCGGCTCTACTGCTGAGCAAGCTTTTTGAGTTACTCTGACCCTTCTGCAGAACTTTTGGCATTCTGATGGGAGCTGGGAAACGAAGGGCACTAGGTGAACAAAATCACGTCTTTTCCACACACTC